CTTTGTTAAAGCCATCCACTTGTGGTATTCTGTTATAGTAGTACTAGATGGCTGAGACAGACTGGTAACATGGAAGACAGAAAATGTACCTAATGGACTTGTGGGCTGATTAAGGAGACTTCCTGGCAGAAGTTTCAAAGGCTTCTCTCAGCCGTTTATGACATAAGAGAACGAAACGAGAGATGAATTAAAGAAGGAGCTGTGAAGTGTTCAAGCAGAAGTTAGAGGAAAGAGCTCCAACACAGGTCTCGCTGACTTGGGGGAAATTCTCACTCTCAGCTCTTCCAGGCAGCGAAAGGTTCTTAAGGTAAGAAATGACCTCAGAGTAAACATCAAATCCAGGGTACTGGCATTGAAATATGACCTCAGGTAAAGTTCAAGCATATGGCAATAAGATCCCTTGCTAAAACCCCTGAAATATTTCCGGGTCCTCCTAGGCCCTTGCAGACATAAAAAAAGAGCTTCTAAGAATCCTAGAGTCATTATCCCACAGCCTCTGATTTGTAGGCCACAGTAGAGAGGGGCCTTTTTGATATTTGTGGTATGTGGCTTTGGTCTGAAGAACTGACTTATAATTTGATACACAGAAAATCCACAAAGTTTTTAAAAGGGGAACCATATCGTTAATATCACATGCTAGCAAAATTTTGCTAAAGATAATTAGAAAATGACTGCAGCCAGGTATCAACAAGGAACTCCTAGAAGTTCAAGCTGGATTCAGAAGAGGACATGGAGGGATGGATATCTTGGCTGTTGTCAAAAGGATCTTGGCTGAAAACAGAGAATACCAGAAAGATGTTTACCTGTGTTTTATCAACGATGCAAACGTATTTGACTGTGTAGAAATAACAAATTATTAATAATGTTACAAACAGTGGGAATTCCAGAACACTTAATTGTGCTCATGTGGAAGCTGTACATGGATCAAGAGGCCCTCCTTTGAACAGAACAAGGGGATACTGTGTGGTTTAAAACTGGAAAAAATATGTGGCAGGGTTGTATAATGACAAAACAGTTTTGATTCTTCTGGAAACCAGATCCACACAGGTATCCTTTTAAAAATTTGAGCCTTTAAGGAATGGTTTTCCTAAAGTCACCTTCAAGTCAAACAATAGCCTAGTAAGCAGCTTAGTGGAGATCATTTTCCCTTAGGCATTGGGCTCTTTTAGAGAATTATCTCTGAGCAGCCAGTTTCCAGGAGCAGGAGCCCCACATTCTGACTGGAAAATGTATGGCATGTCCTTAGTGATCCTGTTTCTCCAACCGCCTGGAATCCTGATGTTATCTCCTGAGAAATTAACATGACAATGACCTCTATAACCCCTTTTCACTCTTCCCTCTTCAGAGCAGAGTGTCTTCCCTACATGTTCAGGTTACTGTTGCCCGATTCCAATCATATCTTCTCACAATAAATCTATATCGTTACACTACTTTTTGGCTGTTATCTGCACATTTAGGTTTTCCACAACCCTTCCACCTGAGAAACCATTTTAATTCTCCTGGAATCCAGATTTCTGGGGTCCATGGCGTTTAGGCAACCCACCCAGGCCATTTGCCCCTAAGTGTCCTTTTGAACCTTGAGCCTTGAAGAAAGTGATTTCCTAAAGTCACCTTTAAGTCAAACAATAGCTTAGGAAGCAGCTTAGTGCAGACCCTTTTGCTTTAGGCATTGGGCTCTTTTGAAGAATTATCTGTGTGCAGTCAATTTCAAGAAACAGGAACTCCAGGGTGTGACCGGAAACTGTGTTTTAGGGTAAAGTCTTATTACATAAACACTGTTCCCCAGCCTTTTTCAAAGACAATGCCAAAAAGACAGGTATTCTGTAGAGGATCTCCCACCTTAGGAACATTTTTCATTTCTAGTCAAAATGTTACCCCAATTTGCAAATCACATATTTAATAAACTTCAATTACTATTAGCGGCTTAATATGATTTTTGTTTCAACATACCTACGTATTCAATCTGTACTCTGAACAAATAATCTGGGAAGCAGGACTGTATGAAGAATATGACATTAGGATTTCAGGAAGATTTATTAACAACCTGCAATATGCAAATGACACAATCTTGCTTGCCGAAAATGAAGACGACTTCAAGCACTTCCTGAGGAAGGTCAAAGACCACATCTTTCAATATTGATTACACCTGAGTGTGAAGAAAATGAAAATCCTCACAACCGGACCAATAAACATCATGATAAATGGAGGAAAAAAATCACTGTTGTCAATAATTTCATTCTATTTGGATGAACAGTCAATGTCCGTGCCAATTGCATTGGGCATATCGGCTGTAAAAATCTCTTCAAAATTCTAAAAAGCAACGATGTCACTTTGATGACTAAGGTGCACCTGACCCAGGCCATGGTCTTTTCAATCACCTCCTATGTGTGTGAAAGCTGGACAATGAAACAGGAAGATGAGAAGGAGAATGGGTGCTTTTGAATTATGGTGAAGAATATCAAATACACTCTGGGCCACCAGAAGAACAAACAAATCCACCTCAGAAGAAATACAACAAGAATGCTCTTTTTAAGCAAGGATGGTGATACTTTGCCTCGCTTACTTTGGACACATCATCAGGAAAGACCGATCTCTAGAAAAGGACATCATGGTTGGTAGAGGGTCAGCAAAAATGAGGGAAACCCTCCACAAGATGGATTGACACAATAGTCATAACAACGGAGTTAAACACACCCAAGATCATGAAGATGGCGCAGGACCGGGCTGTGTTTCATTCCGTCATATGTAAGGTCGCCGTGATTTGGAGCTGACCCCACAGCAACTAACAACAACGATCAGGCAAGAAGCAGGCTGAGAAAGCTACTCAGCTGCAAGCATGGGCCACTTCCTATAGAAACGGAAGGATGACTCAGTGCAGAGCCAAGAGACCCGAGGGGGAAGCCAGAGCTGCTGAAAACAGCGAAGCAGGGAACCACTTGCAGGAAGCCTAGCAGCCATGATAAGAACTACACTGCCCCCAGAGTTGAGGGACTAGTGTCATATGTCTGGTGGGATTTCAACATTTTTGTGGATCAGTGGCTGCTGGGGGCCTTCCCCCTTTGGAATGGGAGTATCTCTTGCAGTTTTCCTGTGTCTCACCTTTCAATGTTTCAAGGGACAGATAACTCATCTTTTACCTTGCATGTTTCTAGAGCAAGAGGAGCCACACCCAGGTGCCTCACCCACACCTAGACCAGTTACAGATTGCAGGATGTTGGGCTCCAAACCTAACGCCCTAATAAAATGATCATTTTGGAGGTGTTAGGAGGGGATGAAGGTCCCCGGGTGGCACAAGTGATTTGCGTTTGACTACTAACCTAAACGGCAATAGGTTTGGTTTGGTTTTGGACTAACCTGCAGGTTGGCAGTTCAAACCAGTGGCACCGGGACAGAAAGACCTGGCAATCTGCTCGTGTAAAAATTACCGCCAAAAAAACTCTACGGAGCAGTTCTGCTCTGTAACACGTGTGGTTGGCACGAGTCGGAATCAACTGGGCAACAACAGGTTTGGTGTTTTGGCTTTAGGAGGGGATGAGTGTGATTTTCACGTGGAAGGAACTTGAATCATTAGAGGCCAGAGGGTAGGGGTAAGGGACACCTCTAGTACTCATGCTATTGTGTGGAGCCCTTATACAGGCACTCTGGGCTTGCCCACATGACTTGCTTTGGCCAACGGGGCATTAGCAAGCATGATTCAAACACAGGCCCAAAAAATGCTTCCATGCTGGGACTTGCCATTTAGAACACAGCATTCATGCCGTAAGGAAGTCCAAGCCATCCTGCCCAGCCCTCTGTGGAAGCCCTAGAAAATGACCACCTCCTCGCTTCATTGAATGTGCCTGGCCCAACCGCAATCCAACTCCTACTTTCCCTGCCTTCTAAGCAGCCTGGAGAGGCTGGAGGAAAACATGCAGTCCACTTGCTGGCCTCCCTGCAGGCAGTCATACTGGACTTCCCCAGGTTGCCCAGCTGCCCTGCTGAAGTCGGTCACATCACTCCTGGTCCTCTCTACCTTGACTGCCAACGCTTGCTCCATCATCCTCGTGACAACCTTGTTTTCGGCCTCATTGAGAAATCGAAGCAATTAGAAGAGAACTTCCCCAAACTCCCCCCATCACACTGATACCTCAGACTCTTTGCCCTCCCTGTGTTATTTCCGTGATGCCTTTCTGGTGAACTCTGGTTCGCCAGTGTGACTCTGTGGAAACGTGACCTCACTTCTGTCTTAGGTCAAAGTCAAAGTCCTCAGACAGCCTTCACAGTCTTCCCCCTTGCCCTCCAACCTTACCCCTGCTGTCTCTCCACTGTCCACTCCAGTCCCTCAAACCTGCCCCACATGTCCCCAGCTCAGGGACTTCGCACTGGCTGTTTCCTGTGCCAGGAATGTTCCTCCCCTAATCATCCACGTGGCTCATCCCCTCCTCTCACTGTTTGCTCAGAAGTAGCTTTCTCAGTGAGGCTCTGCCCATGGGGTCGCACCCCTTATCTGAGCTACTTCCTTTCCTTTCTAACACGCCGTGTCTTTCACTAGAAGTGTATCTCTGCCACCTTCACTGGCGTGTGAGCTGGCGTCAGTGCCCCATGCACCCTCTAGGGCCTGGACAACAGAATGGGTGCCCAGTGATGACGAAGGGACGTCACAAGGACCAATGGGTTTAGCGGCACAGAGGTCATTGGGCCTTGGCGAAGGCCATTAGGTGGAGTGGGTGGCCCAGAAAAGAGGTGGGGTGATCGGCACAGTGGGCCCCAAAGGTATGGCCCCCTCACTGCAGGAACTTGGGTGTTTCATGGCAGATGTAATTAAAGTTACTGATCGGTGACCTTAAAATACGGGTTATCTTGGATTATTGATTAGGGCCAGTGGAATCACATGAGCCCTTAAAAGCAGAGACCTTTCTGCAGCTGAAGGAAGGAGAGATCTGAAGCTGAGAAAGGCTCCCCCTGCCGTTGCTGTCTTTGAAGATGAAGGAAACGCAGGCAGCCTCCAGACGCTGAGAAGGGCCCCGCTGACGATCTGCCGGCCACCAGAGTGATCCTGGAAGCAGCCTGTCCCAGAGCCTCCCTGGGGGGCCCAGACCACCAGCACCTGCAGCAGAGAAACCAGCGAGCCCACAGGACGTTGGCCCCACAGAACTGTGAGATCATGAGTTTAATCCTCTCCACTTGTGGTAGTTTGTTAAAAAGCCATAGAAAATGAATACACTAGGAGAAACGGCGGAGGAGACAGTGGCTGCAGGGGGGCGTAGGGGAGAGCTTGCATTTTAGGGGCACCTGACAGAGAGATGGGTGCTCTCTCATTTCACCCTCACACGCATCGAGGTGACGCATTGGTATGTGCCTTACACTTGGGGGCTAAATTGAGACCTGGAGACCAAGTGACTTGCCTAAAACAGTCCAGGTGTATGTCCTCCGTCAGCTGCGCCCTGCCCACAGCACCTTACACCTGCCATTTTCGTCTCTGTCACCTGAAAGTTTTCTCCCTTCGGCTATGGCTGTGGGAGCCAGCTCTGCCAGGCAGGCTAGACATGGCAGAGAGTGACCTTCCCCAGAACCAGCCCCAACCAACGACCCAGCAGAGTGGAGGTGGGGGTGGGGGTGGTGGATGCCCCTCTGTGTCCCACACTGACTCCCAGGGCTCCACTGGTTTAACAAAACCTTTTTTGGGCCCCTGTTCTTCCCTCCCCTGCTTCCCATTCCCACTCCCCTTCCATTGCTTCCTGGAACCCCCTTCCAGACAACTTGCACTGGAATCCCTGTTTCAAGTCAAACCTAAACCAGGGCACCAGTGCCCCTCAGCTGTCCTACAAGAGCCCCACGCAGCTCTCCTGCTCGAGGCACTTCATCCCAGGGCACTTTCTCAAAATCCATGTACCTTCAGGGACTCTGGGAGGTTGGTAGGACAGGGCGTCCTGATGAGTAAGGATGAGCCTTGAACCCAGATGTCCTATCTCTGCCTGGCCAGGACCACCAGCCCTTCCTAACCCCCAGTAAGGCTGTGGTAAGGCCCGGGCAGAGGTGGGTGTGGGCCTCGCCCCCACTCTGACTCATGCACACCAGCCTACTCAGCCCCTCCCTGGTGGGCCCCTCTTCCCAGAGACCTAAGAGGCCAGAATGGAATGCTCTGGAATTCCTGTTTCCGGGAAGACTTGGACCCGAGACTCTTCCTGCCCCAGCTCACAGAGGGAGGCTGGTGCTGAGAAAAGGCTGCTGTGGCCTAAAGATGGGCTGCGTGGAGAAGCCCCAGGCCCTGGTGGCACCGTGTCCCGCCACCGTGACC